ACCACAGCAACTTTTATAAAGGAAAATACTTAGTTGGGAAGGGGCTCGTTTACAATTTCAGAGGTTCAGACTATTATCATCATGGCGGGGAGCATGGCGGCATGAAAGCAGACATGGTGCTGGAGAAGGAGCTGAGAGTTCAGCAAATCACAGGCAACAGGAAGTCAACTGACCCACTGGGCAGTATCCTGAGCATAGGAAACCTCAAAGCCCACCCCCACAATGACACACCTCCTTCAACAAGGCCTCCACACTTCCTAATAGTGCCGCTCCCTAAGAGATTATGGGGGCCAATTACATTCAGACTACCACAATGACCTAAAAGATAATCATGTGCCCCACTCACCTGCCAAGCAGACAATGGTGCCAAGTAGACAAAGGAAAGCCATGATAAATACTCCTGTTCTAAAGAGGAGGCATACATGGATGACACATGTTGAAGCCCGTGTAGGTCCAACACAGATAATTATCTTCACTAATTGGACTGAAACGGAGTTGCGAGGAATAATCAGACACAACTTACACGGTCATCATGGAAGGGCATCTCAGGGTCTTTCCTCCTCATGATCTCCCGAAGGTCTCCCACATTTATTATTCAAACAGTTTATAAACCATCACCTCAATTGAGTGGGAAAATACATTAGGCTATTAGGTAACCAGGTGAATGGCCTTCTGTCACGTATCTGTATGCTAGCTGTCACATAGGCCTCAATTAGCATCTCTATAAGACATCCTCCAAATTACAAAAGAAATAAGCACCAAACATCCTGACCAGCTTCAGCCAACACCTCTCCTCAGGAGATCTACATTTATAACAAAAGAAAGAAAGGAGCAGTACATCCTTGCTATTGTTATGCAGAGACAGCTTGTCTGCAGAGCTATATGACCACCTCAGATCACCTCAGATGGGGCCTATGGCTTTTGTACCATACCGAAATATGGGCCTAATTTTATCCCCTGGAAGGATCTACCTTGTCTGTCCTGCTCATCTAAAGTAGATATCAAGAAGCATGTCTTCTTTACACACTGTTTGGGGACCCACACAATTGAGAGACTTGGTAATACAGTTGAGAAAACAATTTCCTAGACACTGCTAGGATCCACTCAGATTCTCTTCCACTCATTCTGCGAGCCAGGAGCCACGCGTGTGCCTCTTTCTCACATAACTTTTATGCTGACTTCATTTCTGCACGTCCTTGCTCGGCCATACCCTCCCCCTCTCCTGACAGCTATTTTGAAAGTGCTGGAATAATAGGCTCACATAAGAAAGCCCCTAAACTATGCTTTGAGGCTGCATCCCTCTCATGCAAAAAAAAAAAAAAATGGTGGTAAATATCTTTGTCTATGTCACAATGACAGAGGCTATATTAATGATGTCATTTATTAGACAGATTTAGTATACAAAAGTAATAAATTACAAATAAATTGTCATATTTCTTGTGACTTTCACCAGGTCATAGAGAATAATCTCAACAACTTACAGGAAGATAATTGCTATAGAAAACATTATCAGGCTTCAATGGAATTGAAAAAAGAAATTAATAACAATCCTGTTCTGGTTATGTTTTTGTGGATAATTTGACACAGTCCAGGGTCATCTAGAAAGAAAGAACTTCATTTGAGAAAACATTCCCATCAGCTTGCTGACAGTCAAGTCTGTGAGGTATTTTATTGACTAATGACTGATGTGGAGGACCCAGCCTGTGGGCGGTGTCACCCCTAGGTTTGTGGTCCTAGGTGGTATAAGAAAGCAGGTTGAGCGAGCCATGAGGAGCAAGCCGTCAGGCAGAGTTCCTTCATGGCTTCTGCTTCAGTTCTGATTGTGGGGCACATGCAGGGAAAATAAACTGCAGAGGCAGGAGGATGGGAAGTGTAAGGCAAGCCTGTAAACAAGAAGTCACAAGAGATCCCGCGTAGTTTATTAGAGACCAACTGCAAGAGATGCCAACATCCACCTCACCCCCACTCTATCCACCCCACCCCCACTTACAGTGGTGGACTGGAATCAGAAAAGCAGGGCAAAATTCCCACTTGGGAAAGAAAATTAACAGGAAAATGAGGGAGTCACTGGCAGAGCTGCAGACCAACCTGGCCTGCTTCCTGATCTGAGAAAGAAGTTACCTGTTTGACCAACTCCATTCTGAGACTCTCCTTTCTCTTTCATCTTCTGGGGCCACAGCACCAGCAAAGAGAATGTTAGAGGACCTGGCCTCCTTGGGAGTCGGTGTTGGTCACTATTTCTTATTCCTTTATTCCTTCTTGGACAATAAAATTCAATCAATAAAAACATGAAGTGGCTCAGCAGGTAATAGCACTGCCCACAATCTAAGCCTGATAACCTGAGTCCAATCTCTGAAGATCATATTTGGGACAGGCAGTGGCCAGCATCTGTAATCTCAGTATCTCCTAAGGGGAGGAAAGCAGTGGCCTTGAACTCTTCCCAGACACCTTGGAGGAGCCCTGCCCCCAAGACTTAGCTCCCTCTTCCGCTGCTCCAGGCACTCGCATTCCTGGCCTGCTTCCTCGGGCATGGCCACAGTGAAGCCTCTGTGTTTCTCTCCTAGCCCCTCTCTGGGTCAGTGACTCTACTGCACATCTTTTTCCATCATCTCTCAGAACTGCTACTTAGAGACCAAACTAAGAACCTGGGGCAAACAGAATCTCAGTTCTGTGCCTGTAGGTAGGGACCTTAGCTTGAGTAAATGTAGGTTCGATACCCAGTAGGGTCTAATTAAACTGTGATGCAGATCCATGTGCACTGACACTAAAGGCCGATCCGTTCTTCCAAAATGCCCGCCTATAAGAGGGTGAGCTTTGCCCTACAGTGAACAAGTATTTCCTGAACAGTCAACATCGAATAGTCCAAAACAAGTAGAGAGGTGAAGTGTGCCTGTAGTGCCAGCGTGTGGGAAGTGGAGGCCTTGAGCGGAAGCTCAAGGTTGTCTTCAGCTGCATTGAGATCTGAAGGCCACTGGGACAAATAAGACCCTCCCCCTCTTCTTATCACCCCCCCCCCACAAACATACACACACACACACCACCACCACCACCACCACCAAACATATGATCACCCCTTAGGAAGTTCATATGATGAACTCGTGGCTTCCCTGCTGCCTCCCCTCCATGTTCATTGGTGTTTTGCCTGCATGTATGTCTGTGTCAGATCCTCTTATCATGGGGTTGCAAACTGCCATGTGGCTCCTGGGAATTGAACTCAGGTCCTCTGGAAGAGCAGTCAGTGCTCTTAACCACTGAGCCATCTCTCCAGCCATCCCCACTACCTCTTGAGTCACTTAAGCCCAGTTAACATTAGCTGGCACTGGTTCCCACCAGTGGCTCAGCAGAGTACCAGAGGAATGGGTATGGATCCTCCAATATTCCTCCATGTGCATGAGGACTATCCCTGGAGACACTCACTTCAGGAAGGCCTTCAGTGAGGTAGATGGATCTCTCAGACTCCTGGAGTAAATGGCTCTTAGGGAGGAAAAGAAGACATGGTTGAAGAACTGAGACAAGAATTAGTGGAGCTGTAACCTCCTGTCCTCAGCCCTGGAGCTCAGGCTAGCCCAGCCTGACAAGGGCAGCAACTAGTATCAACCACAGTCGCCTCCCAAGAGTGAGGCCCTGGCAGCTAAGGGCGTGTCTGTTAGGCTTCCTGCTACAATAGAGCTATTTTGAGTGTCATGGTGTTCTCAGGGGCTGGGATGGGGATAAAAGCCCAGTCACTAGCACCCTGTGTCTGCCCTCCCGTCTCTGAGCCGGTAGGGAGGCATCCTTTCTCATTTGTGTGCATATTTTGTGTTTGCTTCGTTTCCTCTGCTTTCTGTCTTGCAGATAGTAGGGCTGCACCAGATAATGTGAGAAGAAAAGGGGCATTTCAGATCCTAAGTGGGCCATGTGCAGGAAGACAGACAGGCAGGCAGGCAGGCAGGCAGGCAGGCAGACAGACCTCCCCACACGCACACATTCTAACCCCACCACTAGGAGGCGCCCGAGCACACAGATATGGCTACCTCTGAGCAGAGTTTGTATTTGTTCTCTGATTTAGCAGTCTGGCCCAGGTGAGCCATAGACTAATGAATTCTGCAGTTGGTCAAGGGCTGAGTATGAGTACCGGCTCTTCTACGCCGAATGTTGTTTGTTACCGCGGTCGCCCCCTGCCACCCGGCAGCACTGCTACATCTCTAGCTGGGAGGATTTCGGGTGTAGAGTGTGAGGCGGCGACAGAGGAACCCTGGGAAGGGAAAGTAGACCCAGAGTCAGAAGAACCTGCATCCCTCGGCTCTCCCTGTGGTTTCTTCCTGGCTGCTGTGTTTGTTTCCTACTCTGTCAACAAAGAAAGACCCAAGCTGATAAAGGGTGGGGATGCGGTGGAACCTCGCCGCCCTGCTGGCTCTCCCTCCATGGTAGCCTGAGGAGCCTAGAAGGAAGAGACCTGATTCACCCAAAGCACAGGTGCACCGGGCACTGAGCTGAGTCAGGGCGGAGTGAGGGGGTGGGAAAGGGGGGAGGGAAGATTCGCTCACCCGCCGGGACAGCGAACGTGCACCCACACGCACGCTCTCCCTTAGTTCAAATATCCCAGTCCGACTTTCCCATTGTTGGTTCGGATTCGGTCTCCTACTGTCTCCCAGGACTTCCCCTCCACCACCACCACCACCACCACCAAGAAGTCATTGTCAGGAAAGGGCAGAGAGTGCTAGGTGACCTGGACCTCCCTGGGAGGTCAACTGCACAGAGAGCGCTCTCCATCCTCAGAGCACCAGCCTCACGTCTCAGGCCATGTGGAGAGCAGACCAGGATGGCAGGAGCACCCTTGGCCGGGTGAGGACCCACTTAGGTAGGCAGGTTCACCAAAGACGTAGCCTCACTCTGGAGACGGAAGTTTTCTGGGTTATCCCCACTTGGCCCTCCCTGCCCCTTTCTCATCCATATTTCCTTCTCCTCTGCTGTCCAAACCGGACCCCTAAGGTTCAAGAAGTCCAAAGGCTGGAAAAGTGCACTGTGTAAATATATTGACTTTATTTGTGTCCATTCGGACGCCTCACAGACAACATCCAAGTAAAAAGACCGTTAAATAAAACGCCTTCAGCTATTGCAATGCAAAAATAAATATCAATCCTTCGGCTGCAGCAGCAGGCGCGCTGCGCCCCAAGTCCCCTCTGCCAGCCCAACAATTATAAAAAGTGTTCAGCGAAGAGTGTCGCGTGAGTGTGAACGGATGTGCGCTGGGGTGGGGCACAGTGGAGCGGTGTGCAAAATCGGAGTTGCAAACCAAAGGCTTTGCAGCGGCGACCCCAGGGTCGCGGCGAGCCGACGCAGCGCGGGCCGCCTCCCGCGCACACTCACAGCAGAGTTCTTACTGGGGAAGAGTTAAAAAATAAACATTTACAAGGGCAAAGAAAGCGACTCCCCTCCCTGGCGTCCCCGAACGGGCTCCGGGGCTCCGGCGTGTCCTCGGCCGGGCAGGAGTCAGAACGAGCGAGGAGTGCAGATCCCCGATGGTCCGGGCCGCCTCGGGGTGCGGGTCCCCTCCGGGTGCGCCCGCTGCTCTCTGGCGCGTGGTGGCGGAGCGAGTCCCCAAATCGGCTGCTGCCTCACAGGGCCGAGTCGGAGTCGCTGGAGTCCAGGCTGTTCCTCAGTTTGCAGCTGCCGAGAGGCTCCCTCTGCAGCGACAGGCTCTGCGTGCTGCGGCGCAGGCACTCCAAGCTCTGCAGGAACGACTTCTTGGCCTTCTCCTCCTCCATCGGGGACACCCCCTCCTCCTCCACCTCCTGGATCTCGTCGAAGGTCACCGGCTGCGTCTTGAAGCGGGACTGGCGCGGCCGCCGCAGCCGGCCCTTGCCCTTGGGCAGCTTGGCGGGCCGCACGGGCTGCGGGAACTCATCGGCCAGGCACACGAAGTGCGGCATCACCGCCTGGTAGTTGGAGCAGATGCCCATGAGCTCGCCAGGCTTGGCGGCTGCCATGGCGCCGTCGGTGGCTGCGGGGCCGGGGGGCGGCGGGGCGCCCGGGCTCTCCGGGGGCGGCCGCGACTCCGGGGTCCCCCGGGAGGCGGCAGCCTGAGGCTCTCCGGGCGGGGGATCCAAATCTGCTGCGGGGTGGCGGCGGGCCTCGCTGGCCCGAGCCGGCGCTGTCGTGGAGGGATGGCGGGCGGGCGGGCCCGTCGGGGGACGCGGGATTGTGCTGCGCTACTCCGCGGCGCTCCTGGAAGCTCCCTGCAGCTGCTGTCGCTGTCGCCGTGTGCCTCGCGGCGGCCCGCCTCGTCGCTTATATAGCCCGCCTCTGCCCACACGACTGCGAGCTCGGATGACAGCGAATGCCATTTAAAGCGTGCGAGTCCCGCGCCCTTCCGCCTGACGTCGCCCTCCCCGCCACTCTGGGAAAGTAACGGCCCCTTTCCCGGCCCCGCCCGCCGGGCCCCGCCAGCCACGCTCCGGAAGGCGCGCCCCGCCTGCCGCGGTCCATCCAGCGTGAACACCCCGCTGCTCAGGGACCCTGTTACCCGGACCCACAGAACTGGGCCACCGCTGTCGGTCTTGGGACACCCTCAGACTCAAGTCTAGACTGACCGCGGGATTTCAGGTCGCTTCCCCGGCCCCCAGTTCCAATCACTCCGGAGGCGCAGACGAGGCGCAGACTCTTCTGCCTGGAACCGTGCCAGACGCACTGACTACAGGGCAGCTGCTGGTGTTCGCAGCCAGGACGCCCGGAGCTGAGCTCCGAGAAATGGGCAGGCTACTGAAGCCCTGCCACCCCCCCTCCCCAGCCACCTTACAGTCGGGGGGGGGGAGGGAGGGAGGGAGAGGGGGGCACGCTCACGCATGAATACAAACACAGCCCATTATTCCATTCCAGTTCTTCCCTGCATGCTTTTCTCCTCACTCTCTCCACCCCAAGTCCCTCTGGCACCCCCATTCATGAACCGCAGAGTGGCACTTGGATAGGGAACTAACAACAACAAAACAACAATAATAGCTCCCATCTGGAGCACTCTTTCTATCAGAGCCAGCCAGCGAGCTCCCTGTACATACATTATCTTGTTCATCCTCCTAACAGCCGAGTGGGATAATTAGTATTCCTTCAATTTCACACGAGAAAAGGGAGACTCGGAAGGGATAATTAACTAGAAACGGATGGAAACAGGTAGGGTGAACTCCAGAGCCCAACAGTATGGGTAGCATTTTCAAGACAAATCCCACCAGTGAGTGAAACAAGACCTTGGAAAGAAGGTCACAGAGCAGCCCTTGCTCAAGCTCCAAGGCCCCAGGAGGTAACTCTTTGCACCCTGCCTGCGGAACCAGGATGCTCATGGCCTCTGGCAATAGAGGGTTATCAGTGGGGTTTGGCCTGCATATATACCCACTCACCAGGGTCTTTTAAGAATTTGTGTGTAGGTGGTGGTGCACTCGGTAGGCAGAGGAGACAGATATCTGTGAGTTCCAGGCCAGCCTGGTCTACAAGAGAGAGTTCCAGGACAGGCAAAAAGCTACAATGAAACCCTGTCTCCAAAAGAGGGGGGGGGGAGAATTTGTGTGGGAGCTCAAGAACTAAATGGGAGCAATGGTGAATGAGAGATTGAGAGGTGGAGACCAGAGGATCAGGAGTTCAAAGCCAGCCTGAGCTACATGAGTTTGTCAAGAGACGGAGAGAGAAAAAGAAGGAGCCCATAGCTTCCATCATAAAAGTTGCATGGGGGGGGGCATGAAAACACCAACAAGAGCAGGTGGCTTAAAGGCAATACAGAGAAAGAGGTGTGCAGGGAAGGCTTCTTCAAGTGGGGGGCACTCAGACAGCACCTGACAGACAATTACAGTAATGCACTGAAGCAAGTCTGGTTGTGCATCAGCTCATGCCAACCACGCCATGTTGTGCCATGTTGTCTTCTCAGCAGCCTTGGGAAACCAGAACCGTTACCAGGGTTGCGCATGCGTGAGGAAACAAAGGCACAAGAGAACTTGCCCCACAGCTGATCAGCAGCACAGCTGAGATCCAGGCATGTGGCTCCCATGTGCTCTCTCTTACTCACCACACTGTGGGGAGGGGTGCCAAGGCGGGAAGAAAGAAAGCCTTTGGCGTCAGGATCCTCTGCACAAGGCAGCCCTCGGTGAGGGCAGCCTGTGAGACTGAGCAGGAGAGGATGAGAAGCAGGGACAGACTCTGAAGGTCTTGAGGCCATGCGGCAGAAGCAGAATTTCATCATGAGGGCATCAGTAGGGCATTGAGGGGATTTCCTCTGGTTGATGTTTTTCAAAGCTCACTCTAGATATTGTGAGGAGAGAGGCGTGGGAAGGAGCTGGGGAACTCACTCAATTGCCACGTGACCTCAGACTGAGGCCACTAAAGCCTTGCATGAGGCCCGAGGCCACGGAGATGCAGGAAAATGTTTTGCTTTGGGATTTGTCTGAAGATGGGGTGTGGGGCAAGTCATAGGGATCAAAGCTAACTTCTCAGCATTTGGCCCCAGCAAGTGTTCAAGGGTACCGTCGACTGTCAGAGGAGGGGGAGTGCCATGGTAGTGTCTGCCAGCTGTCCATCAAAACTCACTTTCGGCCTGGGTGGGACTTGAAATTATATTATATCAGATCAAAATTATATCAGGTGAAAGAGCAAAATCAGTTTGCATATTCCTTAAACTTGAGGCCACTGTTCTTTGCATTGATTTAACACAAGTTTAGCAATGCTTGAATATCAGTAGGGGTACCAGGATGGGAAAACTGTCCCAGATGAACCCCCTCAAATTCTAACACTGGCTTAAACAGCTTCTGAGGAGTGGAAAGCTAGGGACCTTTGTTATGATGATCACCGACATCATGTGTGGCAATTTGGAAGTCAGACCAAATGCCTACTGCACCTATGTAATTCTAGAAAGATGTTTGGGAAGAACATACACAAAAAAGCCATTTGCATGTGTTGGCTGCTTGTTGCTGCTTTTAGCAAGATATTACAAGAATGAGATTGGCTGGCTTGCAAGAAGAGACAGGCAGAAATAGAGCCCAGAAAACTGATGTCCTTGGGTTGGAAAAGCCACTTAGACATCCGAAGGGGCAGTGATCAGACCTTGGCCCACAACCTCTTAGAGCCTTCTTGTTATGCCAAAGATTAAGGCTTCAAAAATGGCTCTGGAGCCAAGTATTTGATTAAAGGTGTATTCCAAGTCTGTCATTTCAGATGTCCGGGGTAGCGGGGTGACTGTCATTATAAAACAGTAAGAAGTGATGGGTTGGCCCAGAAAGTCAGTGACTGTCAGGAAAGGAGTGCTGGGTGTGGCTAATGGTCACATGGGACTTTCTAGAACCAGATATACCTGAAGCCAGCTAAGGTTCTAAAGGAGTTGGTATCTGTGGGAACCCAGGATGGACTGTTCTGCATAGTGTGAACAGGTAACCAACTGCCAGCTTGGTCAGTGGTCAGGGACACAGGGCAAAGGGGTCATCTATACAGAGCTTCCTCCAATGGTTCAGAGAGGCTTGGCCAGAGCCCTCTAGTTATCCACACAGCTAGGTACATTCCTCAGTGTCTTCCATGTCCTCCATAGCAGGGGTCACTGGGCTGAACTGCCATCTGTAGAATGTACCCCATCTGCCCAAAAGGAAATGCCTTCTGTGGCTTTTTTCTCCCTCTGGCCAGAACAGCGACGAAGATACCATGGGAACTTCATGTTAAAGACAACAGTACCGCCATTCATCTGGGTCCCTCAAGGGTCCCGTCGCGCTGAGCTAGCTACTAGCATGAACGTTCCTCGGGGCTATGAGAAAACAACTGCATATTTTAAAGCTCTTCTAAGGTGGAGTCTTTACATTGACACAGCATTGCTTCGGAGAGTCATGACCTGTCCAAGTGGAGATGCCAAGCAGGGATGGGGCTTAGGGGAGGCCTGTGGGGCGGGGGTTCATCAGGACTGAAGGTGTGGGAAAGGCCAGGATAGGCCTACTCTGGGAGCAGGGCCGGGGTGGTCAGTTGGTCAATAAATGGCTTGCTATCCAAGCGTGAATCTCTGAATTGGATCCACAGAACTCACGTCAAAGAACGGGACGTGGTAGCATATGCTTGCAATCTCAGAACTGGTGTTGGGGGTGGGTTGGAGACCGGCAGATGCCTGGGACTCACTGGCCAGTCAGCCCTAGGGGCGTGTCAGGTCAGTGAGAGACCCTACCTAAAAGATAAACTAAACCAAAACAAGGTAGATGGCTGCTGAGTCAGACTACTGATGAGCTCCAGGCCAATGACAGAGACCGAGAGAAAATGTTAGAATCTAAGAGAAGGGTTCTCACCGGATGAGAGTCCAGGACCTGCCCTAGCCTGGCTCTACCATAGACAGGCCACCTGGTAGTCTGCCTCCAGCTGCCGTGCCTCCTCCACAGTGTGAAGCAAGCCTTCCTCCTCACCTTCCTCAGGGAAGCCCCTCAACCACCCTACCCTTTGCTTCGCCATGGACCCATCTCCATCTGGGAACTCTTTCTATTCGTTGTCTCATTGCTTCTCTTCGTCCCGGGCCTTAGTGCTGGTCACTGCCTTTCTCCAGCACCCAGGACAGAGCTGGCACACAAAGGGGCACCTAGGTCTTTTTTGCAATGGACAACCATGGTTTCATCATTTCCTGTGGCTCCTTGCCTCTGCCAAGCCTTCCTTTCTAACAGGAAGCTCTCCTGGCTCCAAGTTCCCAGCCGGGGGCAGCTGCCCTGGACTGTCCCTCTCTACCCCCAGATGGGGATTTCCTGACCCTGGCACCAGCAGGGCAGTGACAATAGGGAGAGAGGTTTGTGCTTCACAGTAAGCAGCCCAAATTAGCCCCAAGATCATCCTTCTTGCCTGGGGACTGCTCACATAAGCCTCTAGGAATAACAGAGAGGATGGACAGATGGGATTTCCCCCTGAAAATGAGGACTGTAGCATGGCTCAGTGGCAGCTTTTGCCCAGCATTCTTGAGTTACTAAGCTCCAGCTCCCCCTAACCAAACAGCAACAACAGTAAGCAGCCGTCTGAGCTCCCACACTGCCCTAACTCATCCACAACTACCTCTGACTCAGGATGGTGCAAGAACTAGCTCCACCAATGGTGGCCTTTCTGCACCCCCACCCCCACCCCAAGAGTCGGCCGCCAAGGGTTACTGCCAGGTCTGGAGGTCACACAGCTAGAGTCCTGGTCCTGCTCTGCCCATGGACTTGTTCTGTCCCTGGAGTTGGTCATGCTGATTCTTGGCTTCTTACCTGGAAAGCCCTAGTAAGTCTATGGCCAATGGTCTAAGAGTGTGGGCAGGTCCTCAGAGAGCCCAGCACCGGTTAGCATGAAGGCACCCCCCCCCCCCGGTCCTTATGATCTCATGCTTGAGTCTTTCCAGGCCTGTCTTAGTGGAAGATATGCCAGGGATCTGGGAAACCCCCACTGCACAAGACATCTGGGGCTCTGTGTCTGTATGTCCCTGCCTGACTCACAGCTTGGAAGTCATAAGTCACGGAGAGTTGAA